TAAAAAGAGTCATAGGTTTACTAAAAAGACTAACAATTTTCTTGGATAGGGTTAGGAAATCAGATCTAGGAATTATAACTAGGGTGGCATCGATGAGCTTTCCCCCAGCAGAAGAGCAGGTATTTCTAGTATTCTCATGATAGTGTACAAGCAGCAGATTACAAAGAGGTGGATAACCGTATCTGGCTGGTGCTGACCTGTTTCCCACCAAAGGAGCTGGCGGTACGTGTACTCGAAGAGACCAACTGTACTGAGATCTCTCTGTCCCACCACACCTTTTTAGTGGTTTATATGAAAACATGGATACCATGTTATCAAATGTATACATGGCATTCATTATAAATAAAAAATTGTGTGGGGTGCAAGGAATATGGCAGTAAAACGAAATAAAACAGAGACAGTCCCTATGCTTAGAGTTAACTAGATGACTGAATTAGGAGCTAAAGTGCCCTCCGCAGGTTTTAATAGTGTAATTAAAATTAGTAAGGATAAATGACTAGTCCCACGTCTAGGGAAAAACTTTGGCTTAGCCATAGAACTTTTAAAAAGATTTAGGATGTTAGTTTAGTCACTAATATGCTCAATATCTGTGCATGTGACTCAACTTAAAAAAAAAAAGGGGGGACATAATTCCAAGCAACATTAACAGAAGCTTAGAAGTATACTCTGAAGTAGAGTCTGAAACAGTAATTCTCATTTTTTTCTAATCTCAAACACTAATAATATATACATTTCCATGAGTCACTCACTACGTGACTCTCAAAGCATGCTTTTCCAAGGTGGTAAATGTATCAGAATTTTGGGTGGGCATGACAAAGGGAGCAGTTCGAGGCCGTATTAGTCCCCTGGAGGTTTTAAGTTGTCCCCACTTAGGCAAGGATCACTTAACTCTCCCACCCTTCTCAGTTGTGGTCTAGGACAAAGACAATAGTTTACACCTTGAATATAATGGGCACAAGACTGATGTATCCTAAGCATACCTGGGGTAAAGCAGGTGTTGAATAAATATTTATTGACTGAATGAATGTAATGGATCATGCAAATTGGAGTACAGAGATCAGTGACTAATTGACAAGGACTCAAAACCTTAAGTCCTCAGAGAAAATGGACATATTTACTAAGCAGAGGGAGAATGTGATGACACTTTTCAAAAGATCGAAGAGCTGCCATGTGGAAGATGGTTGAGATTTTTTGTGTTGCCTGAGGCAGAAAGACACATTTCAGGTCACTGTAAGGAAGGACTTTCTAATGGTCAAAGTGGTTGGAAATGAGGATAGGACCATCTTGAGGGGAAGTGAGTTGCCCCTCAGAAAATTTCAATAGCTGTACACAGTATCAAGAGTAATCTGTCACTGGGACCAGCAGAAGGCATAATGGTTACATGCTGGACTCCCACATGGCCAACTGTGGTTCGAGTCCCAAACCTGGAGCCTTGCTGGGTGGGCCAGGCATGTGTGCATGTGTTCCCAAGATCCTGAGAAGAGAATGGAGGAAAAGGGATTGTAGCATGGCCATCCCCACTTGGAGGTGATTTCTTGCTTTCTGTCTCTCCATCTCTCTGGTGAGTGTACATGCCCTATAGCAAAAAACTCTCTAAAAAAACTACTTTTACTAAAGTACTGCACTTGAAGAATGCATATTTAAAAAGGAAGAAAGGAGAGCAGATTAAGAGCTCTCACATCATTCTCATTTTCCCACCTTCCAATATACTTGCTGAATGGAAGAGATGAGTGGGGTCATTGCTTGCATGTGAGGAGTGCTGATGGGGATGTGGGCCACATGAGAGCGTTTTGTGCTGAACTCCTAGGGTAGAGGGTGCTAATGTGAAAATTAAAGTGGACAGCCGGTGGTGTGGAGGTTAAGGTGCTAGATTTCACATGGTTGGCTACATGGTTAGTCTCAAACTTGGTGGCTTGAAAATCATGCAGGGTGTGTGTGCAGGTGTGCTTGAGATCCTGAGAGGAGACTGGAGGAGTGGGGACTGTCGTGTGACCATGGGTTGAGGGAGGGGAAGGGAATCTTCTCTCTCTCTCTGGCAAGGGCATAAGCCCCAAAGCAAAAACTTAAAAATTACTTTAACGATGCCTTTTTATCCTATGACTTTTGTATTTCATCAAATACATATTTATTTCTCTTCCTTATATAAATGCTGAGAGCATTAATTTTGTCACAAAAGCAATACATTTTTATAAGTTTGAAGGGCTGGGCTGGTAAGAGACAGATTTTATACAAATCTCAGGATATTGCAGTTTCTCTCCCTTTATCTACTTTTTCATATGTATATATCCATTTTTAGGCAAAGCAGACAAATTTAATTTTTTTGATAAAAATATTTGCAATAAAGCTTGTTACAGATTTATCACTTTGAAAATAATAAAACACACTCTAGTAAAAAGAACAAAATTTATAGTCAAATACATAAAGAGGTTGTTTTTTTCCCCCTTTGATTTGTATGAGAGTTGGTTTGGCAAAATTATGCAACTATGAAATATTCAATATTTGCTGAATAAACAAAGACAGAATTGTTGCTAATGTTCTTCCGTATTTGGGGTAGTTATATTTCTCTTATCAGAGAAGAAATGAGAAGATTGTTGCCTGTCCCAATTTGTACATTTGTACACAAAAAGAAGAAGAGGTAATCATATCTCCTTTCTTCCTCACGGAGACACAGTAAAGAGACATGAATAAATAAAATGAACTAGCTTTGTTGTCCTCAATTTCAGATTTATATCATTTCTTTTTTTTCTCTTTCCTACCAATTTCCCATCTCCTAAAACATAATTCCTAGACTAAAGCAAACTGTCTGTGTAAATAGCCAAGACTGACCAGTATGAGAAATGCTAACAAAAAAATAACATTTTTACACTATAAATTATTAATTATAACATTTTCTCAAAATAACCATAATGTTCACTTTTACTGCTAAACATAGCTTATGTCTGTTCCAATTCAACAGAAGTCAGAAAAGCATACTATCTGCTTCAATTAATTCTCTTGGAGCATATCTAAATATTCAAGAAGGGGGTCCAACTGGAGAGGGGGCTATTAATATAATCATTCTAATAATATTAGAATAGAGCTTTGGAGAAAGTGTCTATGCTCAGAGATTTTACCTTGAACATATGAGTCTGAAAGGTGAGATTTTCTTTTTGAAGAGAAAATACTGGGACCAGTGGGTGGTGTGGTGGTTAAGGCACTGGATGCTCCCACATGGGTGACCACGGTTCAAATCCTGGACCTGGTGGCTTGCTTTCTCACCTTCTCTCTGTGTGTGTCTCTCTGGTAAAATTGAATGAATGAATAAATAAAGTTACATAAATAATTTTTAAAAAAAGAGAAAATACTAATGCTTACATTTCATGTGTCTAGGATGTTAATATCTGAAATGCTTCCTTAAAGTTTCATTTTTTTTGTCAGATATAATTCTTTAAATAAAATAAAAAATACTATATAAACATGGATTTGAACCTAACATGAAAATTAGTCTGTGAATAAAATGGAAAGAAATTTAGAGGATCAAATGAAAAATTCTGTAAGAAACAAAGAAGCCCAGTGCCTCCTGCCTGATTACCGTTTTCCTGTCATATTTGTACTACTCAGTCTCATTGCAGTTGACACTACTAGCCATTTTTCCCCTTGTTGAGCTTTTTTTTTTTTTTTTTTTTTTTAAATCATGTTGAATTTCCCTTGTTAAAGCCCTCTTATTCCTCCTATTAGTTTCCTTTAAAAATTCCTCTTCAGTTCATTCAACAAAGGAAGATATTCCCAAAGGTTCTGTCCTTAAAAACAGTTTTAGAACAGTTCCGTGAGCCAGGAACTAACATGTTGAGTGCTAAGGACCCGATGATGGATGAGAACAGACAGGATCTTGCCCTCAGGGAACTTGCAGTCTGTTGGGGAAGAGATGACATTAAAGAAAAAAATGTCAGGGGCCAGCAGGTGGTGTAGTGGTTAAGGTGCTGGACTCGCACACGGCCGACTGTGGTTTGAGTGCCTGACCCAGCAGCTTGAAACTCATGCTGGGCGCTTCTGCATGTGTGCCCAAAATTCCAAGAGGAGAATAAAGGAGAAGGAATTGTGGCGTGGCCATTGCCCCCTGGGGGGATTTCTTGCTTTCTGTCTCTCTGGCGAGAACATGCACCTGACAGCAAAAATTTCTCTTAAGAAAAGAAAAAAATTCAAAAGTTAATTACAGATTTTGGTAAATTCCATGAAGGAAAAATATGGTATAGAGCATGGGGCCTAACCTAGGCTGGGGAGGGCTACTCTGCGAAGGTGACGTTTGCATAGAGAGCTGAAGAATGTACAAATGGAAAAGTATCTGCAGAGACCATGGATTGGGAGGGAGGATGATGTACTGACGGAGATAAAAGAAGGTCATCAAGGTTGGCGCACAAAAAATGGAGGGGAAGAATGGTATGGGAAGAGGTGGAAGAGGTACAGACACAATACGTAAGGCCCTGAGCAAGATGCTACAATTCATTTCTCATCTCTGAGAAATGAAGGCCCATCGTGACTGTCTCCATTTTTCAGCATCAGTCCTAAACTTCTGACTGATGGTTGAATGTCTATCCACATATGAATGTTTTTGTGTCATCTCCAGTTCATACTCCTTATTTTTTTTCTGGACAATTGTAACAATCTCTTAATTGGTTATTTTGATACAAACCCATCTGCTCTTTATTGTCAGAAACCAGAGTGTACCAAGTTCAAACCAGGAGCAGAGAATAACTACATGAGTCTATAAAGATCAAGAGGACTACGATAGTTCAGTATTATGCATTATCAGACTGTAAGATGGCCTTAGGATTAGCACTGCTTTGAGTAATATATATATAAGTTCTCCCGATTTCTTAAATATCAAGTTCTGTAAATACTAAAAACTGTAAGTTAAAAATGAGTCATTACAATTATACATTAAAATACATGACAGCATCATTTCAGAAAATGTATAGTTTATTATATTTATGAGTTCATAATAAAATGTATACTTAGGAACTTAAAAAATGTTAGGAGTAACAATGAGATGTAAAAATTTCAAATCTTGGAACCTGAAATATTAAATTCTAAAATTGTCTTAGGGTCTCTTTTTCATGATCAGCATAGTTTGAAAATTACTATGTTCTTCCAAGGGAAAAAAGGGAGTAAAAAAATAGACACGTTGATGAAAGCAATGAATTCTTCTCAGCTGGCTTTATTCTCCACTGAAGCTCAATATAGGATTATATTTTCTTTACTTACAGGAAGCTGTCACTGTTCTGTTTTCCAATAACCCTCAAAAACAGAATGGAAAATGCTTATATAAAATGACACAAGCCTTAACCATTCTCTGCAGGTTTTACCATTTCAATACATCTCTAGTTCAAAAGCTTCACAAACTCTAAAGTTTTGTGAATGAGCTATGGATATATTTAAATATTTTCCAGATTCATCATGGAGGCTGCTTTTCTTCTTTGTACTGTAATCACACTGAGCTGCAATTAAAATAAACAATCAGTAAGTAGTTACTTTTCTACGGAAAATCTTAGATTAATACAAAGTACAATGCATCAAAACTTAGAATTACTGAAAATATCTTATTGGAAGAGCTCTCGTAGGAGTCCTTTTTTGGAATTCACTTCTGTTTTACCCTTGAGGCTACAATTAGAGAAATGCACGTTGCATATGTTATTCCACAGGTCAGAGTGATACACACAGAATTCCACAGCATATTCCATAGGTAGATGAAAATTTAGATAGAAGTCAATCAGTGTTGGGCCAGCAGATAGTGTGGTATCTAAGGCACTGGATCCCACATGGCTGACTTCACAGTTTGAGTCATGGACCCAATGGATTAAAAACACATCAGGTGAGTGTGTGTGTGTGTGTGTGTGTGTGTGCCTAAAATCTGGAGAGAATGGAAGAGAAAGGACTGCAGCATAGCTTTCCCTCCTGAGGGGTGATTTCTTACTTTCTCTCTCTTTCTGTCTTTCTATGTCTATGCACAAATCCTATGGGGAAAAAAAAAAAAAAAAGTGAATAAGGCCAGCCACTGGCATAGTGGTTAAGATGGCTGGATCTCACATAGCTAACTGCGTGGTTTGAGTCCGCAGACCTGGTGGCTTGAGAAACATGACAGGAACATGCACATTCCCAAAATCCCAAATAGAGGGAAAAATGGAGGAGAAAGCATTGCGGTATGATTTTACGGGGTGCTTTCTTTCCCTTGCTCTCTCTGACAAACCCATGTACTCTCTGGCTAATTAAAACAAAGTTAATAATAAAACCATCAAGACACAAACTAAGTGTGAATTAGTAGAATGCAGACTGGTAACAAAAAGATGATGATAGGTAGTAAGAAAAGTCTCATGGAAAACCCT